ATTTTTAAAAATATTAATTATAAAATAAGTTTTTAGGTATGTCCTCTAATACAATTTCATATATATATAATTTTTTTATAGTACTTTATTAAAATAAAGTAATTTGAGAATTTTTTTTTAAAATTTTAAGAAATAAAGTAGATAAACACTAATTTTATATATATACTAGTGCTTATTCATTTTAACTCTTAAAAATTAAGAAAAAATTATCTCAAAATTATATTATTTTAATAAAAAACACTACAAAAAAATCTTATTTAAATTTTAAAAATATATTGTCATTTTAATAAAAATTTATTGAAATGATATGATTTTGGGAGAATTTTCTTCTTAGAGACTTTAAGGAGATGAGAAGGATGGCACATTCATCGTATATATATAATATAATATAATATATCTATGAACCCTCAAATCTAGTATTTAACCTAATTTTTGCAGATATGCATTTTTATTTAACGTTTCTTTTCAAATTGTTATGAAAGAAATAAAAATTAAGACATTTTAGTATTAAAATATCAAAATATCTAATTTCAACTATGTAATTAATGAATTTTAAATTAGATCAACATTATTTTCACTCATTTTGTAGTTATAATTTCACATTTTAATATTTTTAATATTAACACGTCTTGATTTAACAGATCCTCAACTGTTATAACTATGAACCTCAAGTCTAGCACTTAACCTGATCTCAGTTTCATTTTTATTGGGCCTGCTAATAAACTTCTCCTTACGGATTTTGCTTTACCGGCTGAGTGGGTCCGTTTGGGCCGAAATTGTGGCCAGATTGGGCCTTCCGATAACGAGGTCAACTTCTTTGGTAATGATTGATTCATCCATCTGTGAAACTTCAGGATTTATTGAGGGGAGGGGCAGCGTACTTCCCATGCGTGTATCTGATTTTCATTTTTCGTTAAACTTCTATCTTTCATTACAGTTATAACATTCTATTTCATAAATAAAAATATTGTTAAAATAAATTAGATTTGACCCCTAGCTCCTTCTTTTTTACTTTCTTTATTAAGATATATAATAATTGTAATAGATAATTATCTTTATTTTAAAAAAAATGAAACTTTTATTTTGATCACTCAATTTTGGTAAGAATTTTTTATTTGATATCTAAATTAAATAAACTTAATTTTAGCTTTTAAAATTTTAAATTTCAGTTATTATTATTCTTTTGTTAAGTTTTAGCTTATATGACACAAATTGATGACAAAACCCTTTTTTTTTCTTGAATTTAATAGTGTGAAAATTTTACATCGCTAAAATTTATAGTATTAAACAAAATTTAGTATTTACATTCCTCTTAAAAGTTTATTTAATCATAAAATTATCATTAAGTTAAATCATAATTTTGGTCCTTAAACTTTTATATGGGCCTTTAATATGATCTGTACTAAATAAATCTAAATCTTTGTTTTAAGACCAAAAATTGGGTTATTTATTTATTTATTTTTTAACATAGAGAATTTTAGAAGAAAGGAAGGGTGATAATTTGCACCGGCTAGAACTCGCTAAAACCGCACGTGCGTGTCTGTGAATTGATGTAGATTCAGCATAATTCTTTTGGGAAATTGAGTTGTGGACGATTGATTGGTACAGTTATAGTACAATTTGCTTGGAAT